GTTCAAGGATTGGTAAGCCATAGGCATCAGCCAAATCTATAAACAAAATTTTATTGAAACTCACTGAGGCTCAATCATTTATGTATTGTCTATGGCGGATTTTGTGCTACAATGGCAGAATGAGTTGTTATGACAGAGTTTTATTGTTCACCATAGCCTAAAATATTTACTCTCTGGTCTTTTACAGTGACATTGGCAAACTGAGAATTCAGTGGTTCTCAACTTGTGGGTTGCAAACCCTTTGGGGTTCGAATGACCCTTTCACAAGGGTCACCTAAGACCATCGAAAACACATATTTCCGATGGTCTTAGGAACTGAGACACGGCTCCTCTATCTGTCTCCAGGTGGGTCCTCTCACATGCAGATACACCCACATAATAAATAGTACATGGGATGAAGACTGTTACCCATGCTACACCATGCTTCAAGACAACATTTTATTTGTCATTAGAAATAAATATTTCACAATACAGTATATAATTACATATTGTTTGTGTGATTAATCACTATGCTTTATGTTCAATTTGTAACAATGAAAATACATCCTGCATATCAGATATTTACATTAAGATTCATAACAGTAGCAAAATGACAGTTATAAAGTAGCAATGAAAATAATGTTATGGTTGGGGGGTCACTGCCACATGAGGACCTGGATGAAAGGTTCACGGCATGAGGAAGGTTGAGAACCACTGCCCTAGATGATGGACCCTCCCAGAGATAGTATTCTCTTTGTCATTGTTGAAATTGACTCTACTTCATAAATATTGCAGAAAACATTAGTGAGTCTAGCCATCCTCTATGGCCTACCCAACCCTCACCCCTTAATTATGGTTTATCCATAATTTTTACCTACCATAAAATAAAATGACAAATGATAATACTTTTACTAATCATTTATACACAAAAATACAAATATATATAATTTTGTCTTATCAATTACTATGACCATCTTGGAATGGATAATGATACAGGACTGGTGTATCTTTGAGGCCCCTGCAAAAGACTCTTCATGTCTTCTCATCATTGGCAAAATTTTCTCTTATTGTCTTACTTTTTTTTTAAATCAATTTATTGGGGCTCATAAAATTCATCACAATACATAGATCAATTGTGTAAAGTACATCTATACATTTGTTGCCCTCGTCATTCCCAAAATTCGCTTGCCTCTTGGGTTCCCGGAATCAGCTCATTTTCCTTTCCCCCCCTCCCTTCCCTTCCTCTGCCCCCCTCCCCCATGCACCCTTGATACTTTATAAATTATTATATCTTATATTACATTGCCCGGCGTCTCCCTTATTGTCTTACTTTTACGTGTTTGTCTATCAAGTATTAGTTACTGTCAAGTGCACAAGGAGTCCCTAAGCAGTGGTGTGCTGGTTTACACAGCCACATGGATTACTACTGGAGTTGTTAGATTAGTCGCATATATTTTGACTCTTCCTGTCCCCACACCACACACACATAATATTTACAAAATATATTAATATAGGAGTAGTTTACAGACTTAAACAATGAAACCAAATAGATTCAGACCTTTTACCACATAGACAAAGATTAGTATGGAGATTAGTATGGAGCCATATTCCTGCTTTCCAAGTCCATCAAGTTGACTCTGAACCAGGGCCAGATGATAGGTAGCACATGAAGTGGGCTGCTGAGAAGCTCACTCTAAGCTACAATCGATAATCGGTTTAGGCTTATCCAGAAACCTGCAGCTGAATGACGTGTGAAGTCTTGTGTAGGTGAATAGATTATTGGATAGGGTAAGACATGGCAAATATATGTATATATTTTATATATAAAAATAAATATATATATCTTATATATTATATATATAATAAGGTTCCTAGGGGGTGGGTAGAGTTGGGGAGGGAGAGGAAAAAGGGGAACTGATATCAAGGAGTTTAAGAAAAAGAAAATACTTAGAAACTGATTGTGGTAGCAACTGTACAATTATGCCTGACCTAGTTAAATTATGGATTGTTATGATATCTAAATGAGCTCCCTATAAAATGATTAATAAAAAAAGAAGGAAGCTGGAAACTACATGATAGAACTTTGCAAGACCAGCAATTTCATCATTGCAAATACCTTTTTTCCCCAACAATATAAATGGTGACTATACATGTGGGTCTTACTAGATGTAATACATGGGAATCAAATGGACATCTGTGGGAAGACACAATGGAGAAATTCAATATCATGAGCCCAAACAAAGCCAGGTGCCTACTGTGGAACAAGTGATCAACTATATGCTAGTTCAGGCAGAAGCTAAAAAAATAATTTTTAAGTCCACAAGAACTAAAATATGACCTTGAGTATATCTCATCTTGATTTAGAGACCATCTCAAGAATATCTTCAATGAATTGAAGACTTATGACCAAACACCAGATGAGTCTAGAAAGATCATTAAAGATAGGAGAGGAAGAAAAGACCAAAATGGATATTAGGATAGGCTTTGAAACTTGCTCTAGAACAGTGGTTCTCAATCTTCCTAATGCTGCGACCCTTTCATAGAGTTCCTCATGTTGTGGTGACCCCCCAACCATAAAATTATTTTCTTTTCTTTTTTTTGAGAGTGAGTGAGAGTGAGTGAAGTGAGAGTGAGTGAGAGTGAGTGAGTGAGTGAGAGTGAGAGAGTGAGTGAGGGTGAGAGTGAGTGAGTGAGTGAGTCAGTGAGTGAGAGAGTGAGTTCATAAAATTATTTTCATTGCTACTTCATAACTATACTTTTTGCTACTGTTATGAATCAGGTGACCCCTGAGAAAGGGTCGTTTGACTCCCAAAGGGGTCGTGACCCACAGGTTGAAAACCACTGCTCTAGAAGATAGAGGAGCTAAAGCTAATGGAGGAAATGGTGACATAAAAGCTGAACAAAAAATTTAAAAAGGAGCTTGAGAAGACAAAGTATTATAATGAAATTTGTAAAGGCGTGCCATTAGAAAACCAAAAGGAAGAACATGCTCAGCATTTCTCAGGCTGAAAGAACTGCAGAGAAGATTCACTCTTTGAAGCCCCATATTAAACATTTCTATGGTCAAAACATTGAATTTTGTTGGAAACATTAAAAGAAGATGGAAAGAGTAGTTACTATACCAAAAAGTACTGGTTTATCCTCAACCATTTCAAGAAGTAGTACAGATCAAAAACTGTTGGTATTGAAGGAAGCAGTCTAAGCTACATTGAAGTGTTAGGAAAACAGAGCTCCAGGAATTGATGGAATAGCAATGGAAAGGGTTCAATAAACTGATGCAGCACTGGAAGCACTCACTTGTCTGTGCCAAGACATTTGAAAGATAGTTATGTGGGCAGCCAGTTGGAAGACTTCCAAATTTGTGCCCATTCCAAAGAAAGGTGATCCAACATAATGCAGAAATGATTGAATAATATAATTGATAACACATGCAAGTAAAATGATGAGTATCATTCTACAGATGTTTACTTATGTTTTATTGATTATGTAAAGACATTTGACTATGTGGATCATAACAAACTATGGATAACACTGAAAAGAATGAGAATTTCATAACATTTAATTGTGTTCATAGAGGACCTGTACATAGACACAGAAGCAATAGTTTGAATAGAACATTTTTTGTTTGTTTTTTAAAGATAAATATTTTATGACAATATTATTCTAAAGGAAGATAAAGAAAAATAAAAAATGGCCTTCACAGGAAAGAAAAAGAGTCGAAAGAGAATAGAACATTTTAAATTGTATAGTTTAAAATCAGGAAAAGTGTGCATCAGGTTTGTATCTTCTCACCATACTATTCAATCTGCATGCTTAGTAAATAATTTAGGAAGCTACCCTATATGAAGAAGAATATGGCATAAGGATTGGAGAAAGGCTTATTAACAATCTGGGTTATTGTAATCTGGTTTACTATCAATGTTAATGGAAGCAGCAGTCAAGAAATCAATGAAGCTTCTTTAAAATGTTAAAGAGGAAGGTGTCATTTTGAGGACTAAAATGCACCTAATGCAAGTCATGGCATTTTCAATTGCCTTATGTGCACGTGGTTGATGGACAAGGAACATGGAAGAAGGAGAACTGCTGCATTGAGTTATTATGTTGGTGAAGAATATTGAAAGTGACATGCACTGGCAGAACAAACAAATTTATCTTGGATGAGGTACATCCAGAATGCTCCTTAGAATGGAAGATGGCTGGAGGGGCTTAGTCTTGTGCACTTTGGACATGTGTTCAGGAAGGACCAGTCACACTTGGTAAAGTAGAGGGTCAGCAATAAAGAGGCAGCTGATCAAGGAGATGGAATGACATAGTGGCTGCAACAAGGGCTCAAACAGTACCAGCAATTATGAGGAGGACGGTGCGGGACCAGGCAGTGTTTCATTCTGTTGTACATAAGGTCTTTGTGAGTAGCAACCATTCAGATGGCATCTAAGAACAACATTATAACTTCATATTTAGAGTCTAATTGTTTTGAATCACCTATTTAACTTAGAATCATTAATGTTTGTTCTTGGTGACAAAATATAGTCTTGTGTCCAATCAATTGATGTAGTGATATAGTATTTTTTAGGAGCAGGTTCTGTGACTATTTTATTTTTATGATTCATTTTAATTAATACATTTTAGTGTTTTAGATATTCATAAAAATTGAGCAGAAAGTACCTATTTATCTCTTCTCTTTCCTCCCCTCTCAATTTTCCCATTATTAACATCTTGCATGCCTGAGGTACATTTATTATAATTGATGAAAATAATATCAATACATAATTGCTAACTAAAGTTCATAGCTTACTTTAGGGATTATTTTTTTGAGAGTTAAGTTCTATGAGTTTTGCCAAATGCATAAAATATATTCATCATTGCAATACCATACAGAATCATTTCACTGTCCTGAAAATGCTGTGTTCCACTTGCTCATACTCATTCCCTCTCCTGTGTTCCCTGGAAATTAATGACCTTTTTATTATCTCAATAGATTTGCCTTTTACAGTGATACCTATTATCACTTACTATTAACTGGTAGGTTTTCTGTCAGACCTTGAAGCTCTGGCTCTGTGAGATTTATCTTCATATTTTCCAGGACAGTGTCTATGCTATTGACATTAATGTTTCCTCCTTTGAAAGATAAAAATAAAAATATTAGAAACAGTGAATGGTTTCAAAACAACATATATTATTTTAATGATGAAACACAATTTTTGTTTTTAATGAACATATACTAATATTAAAATGAAAATGCAAAAGCTCAATGGTTCATATTTTTGCATTATTACTTTGATTCACAATGTGAATACCAAAAATACATTTTTAAATAAATAATCATTTTATTAGGGGCTCATACAACTCATCACAATCTGTACATATGTCATCTGTGTCCAGCACTTTGGTACATATGTTGACTTCATCATTCTTACGACACCCACTTTCCACTTGAGCCCCTGGTGTCTGCTCATTTTTCCCCCTCCCTCCCAGCTCCCCCTTCCCCCTGAACCCCCGATAATTTATAATTTATAATTATTTTATCATATCTTACCCCATCCCATGTCTCCCTCACCTACTTCTCTGCTGTCTGTCCCCCGGGGAGGAGGCCACATGTAAACCTTGTCCACTGTTCCCCCTTTCTCCCTCTCCTTCCCTCCACCCTCCCGCCATCGCCATTCTCTCCACTGGTCCTGGGGGGTTCATCTGTCCTGGGTTCACTGTATTTCCAGTTCCTATCTGTGCCAGTGCACCTCCTCCAGTCCAGCCGGATATGTAAGGTAGAATTGGGATCATGGTAGTGGGGTGGAGGAAGCATTTAAGAATCAGAGGCAAATTGCATATTTCATCATTACTACACTGCACTCCGATTTGCTCCTCACCTCCCTGCAGCCCTTCTGCAAGGGGATGTCCAATTTCCCCTGGATGGGCCCTGGGTCCCAACTCTGCACTCCCCCTCATTCACAATGTTATGATTTTTTTCCCAAAAATACATTTTATTTGCCCAAGATAAAAGATCAAGTTAACAGAATAATTAGAATTAGAGTGTTTACCTTTAAACCTGTTATGGGTCAAGTTCAAATAAAAAATACTTAATGGAGTTGACTAACTCATCTTTTAAAAGATTTACCTCTAAGCCCTAAGTAGTGTTGATTGTTGTGTTCTGAATTCAGCAACTTCCTGTTGCTGACCAAATAAATATAAAACAAAACAAAACCATTTTAATTATTCCTCCCTTGTTTTTCTTAAATTAAAAAAAAAAGAAATCCTGAGATCTCAAATGATTCTTTTTGAGTAAAATTTGGAAATATCAAAAAAGATGTAGGGTTTCTGCAAAGATATATATAGGACTTAAAACCCACTGCCTTTAGCTGGTAAATTCTATAAATACTGAAAATAAAAGCATAAATAAGAAACAATTCATAATTGGGAATAGAATTCCCAATTTAAAGATATAAATATTATAACATGTGTCTTTGTGAGATTGTCTGCGTGCTCATCAACCTTCTTACTCACCTTTGAAAGACTTTACTTCATTCAACAATCTATTCTGAAATATCATCCCAGCATCTGTAACAAAGGTATGATTCATATCACAAGGAAAATATAGATGTGACCCTAGTACATATATCATGATTACATTGAGTTTTTATTTTATATTGAGCTTTTGAAAATCTTCTTTGTCTTAGATCTCTCTCCAATATCCTCCTTAAATGCAAATAAAGTTTAAGAGTGAAAAATTTCTCTGTGTGATAAGCCTACATGATTTCTTGCACTTGAAGCCACTGTTAGTAGTTTTCTATCATGGAAAGCATGTATAAACACTTTGGAATCTTCTACACTACCAAAATACATGCTTTTCCCTTTCCTTTCATCTTTTTCTTTTGAATTAGTTTTTCATATTGTCACAAAACACTTACCTCCATTTTTTACATCCATCATACAACAAAAACCAGCTTAGAGTCATTGATAAGAGAACTTGGAGCTAAATTTGCTATTTTTAGTAGTTTCCAGAGGCAATTAAATAGAAAATTTTAAACCACTCCCTAAATCAGGTTCCCTGAAAAATTTGATTGGCATCTCTACGACTCACCATCAACTGGAAGGGTCTCCTGCAGATGTAAGAGTTCATCTTCTGTGAGATCAATCCCCATGCTTTCGAGGGTGCTTTGGAGATCATTGACATCATTCTTTTCTCCTTTCAAAAGAGAAGAATGTGGACTATTAAAAAGCAAAATATTTTTTCCTACCTGCTAGGCATCATGCACAAACTGAACAAGGTACCAAGTTAAAATAATGCCTAACTTTATAACATCGGTGGGGGAGACATAAAAAATATTATGCTCTATTAGTAAAAGCAAGGCTTTGTAGTATTTAATACCCAAGAAACTACCAGAAAAAATTATTTTTATAATTATTCAAGGAATTAGGAAAACAGATAATTAAAAATCCAATCAGAAAGTTCTATAAGTATTATTCTTTTGATCTAAACGATATAATTTGCTATTTTCTGTTACAGCAATATTTTGAACCACGTCACTCTTATCTTTCCATTTACTGTGGCTAGTTTATAGGTTTTAGATATTTATGAACTGCAGTGAAACATTACTAAAAGACCTAGAGACAATATACTTGGTTCCAAGATAGAACATGAACTTTTACTGTAAAAAATACTGATAATCTGATGCCAAATGGCAGGGTATCACAAGCAAATATTTCTTCAAAAAGAAGTAAAAAGCGAGAGTCTAAAAGTCAGTGATATAATACTGGAAAAAAATCAAAACATAACACACAGAATAAGAGTTTAACTCTATTCTAATCTCACTCACCTGTAAAAGTTTCCATGGCTTCTATCATATTTTTCATATCAACTTGCCCATTAACTGCAAGAAAATATTCATGTCACTAAGAAAACTGACTTTAAGACTCAGAAACTGTGACATATCAAAAAGGAGTTAAGCAATCTTTACATATGCAAGTATTTTAAACTATTTTCCAACCACTTCATGAGTGTGAACTAACAGTCTTCATTCCCTCACCCTATAAGGACGGAGTAGAACTGTCCCAGGGGCTTTCCTAGACTATAAATATTTGTTGTTAGGTGCTGTTGAGTCCGATCCTACTTTTGTGACCCTTAACATATCATTTCAGTCACTGTGTTCATCCACCTTGTCAAAGGACTTCCTATTTTTGTCTTGCCCCTCCACTTTACGAGCATGATGCCCTTTTTGAGGGACTAATCTCTACAGATAACATGCCCAAGGTACATGAGATGAAGTTTTTCTATCATTGCTTCTAAGGCACACTCTAACTATATTTCTTCCAAGACAAATTTCTTTGTTCTTCTGGCAGTCTATGGTACTTTCAATATTTTTCACCAGCACCATCATTCAAATGCACTGATTCTTCTTCAGTCTTCTTTATTCAGTGTCCAACTTTCACACGCATATGAAGCAATTGAAAACACCATGGATTGGGTCAAGCACACTTTAGTCCTCAAAATTACCTCATGTCTTTTAAACACTTTAAAGAGGACTTGTGCAGCAGATTTACCCAATGCAATGTGTTATTTGATCTCTTGACTGCTGCCTCTATGAGCATTGATTGTGGATCCAAGGAAGACAACGTCCTTGACAACTTCAATTGTTTCTCTGTTTATCACAATGTTACCTACTAGTCCATATGTGAAGATTTCTGTTTTCTATATTGAGTTGTAAAACACACTGAAGGCTAAAATCTCTGATCTTCATCGGCAAGTGTTTCAAGTCTTCTTCACTTTCAGGAAGTAAGGCTGTGTCATCTGCATATTGCAGGTTGTTAATAAGGCTTCTTCCAATCTTGATGCTATATTCTTCTTCATACAATCCTTCTTCTCTGATTATTTTTTCAGCACACAGATTGAGAAGATAAAACACTGATGCACACCTTTCTTGATTTTAAACCATGCAGCATTCCCTTGTTTTGTTCACATAATTGCCTCTTGATCCATGAGTATGTACAGGTTCTACATAAGCACAAGGAAGTGTTCTAGAGTTCTATTCTTCTCATGACTATGTTTGTTGTAGTCCAGAGAGTCAATAAAACACAAACATCTGTCTGGTATTCTCTGCTTTCAGCCAAGATCCTCTGACATCAGCAATGATACCCCGTTTCATGTCTTCTGAATTTGACCTGAATTTCTGGCACTCCTTGTCAATGTATTGCTGCAACCATTGTTGGATGATTTTCAGTAAAATTTTACTTGAAAGTGATATCAATTTTGTTATTCCATAACTTGTGCATTCTGTAATACGTACAAATATAGCTCTCTTCCAGTCAGTAAGCCAAGTAGCTGTCTCTTTGATTTCTTGGGATAGACAGTAAGTGCTTACAGTGATTCATCAGCTTGTTGAAACATTTCAATTAGTATCCCATCAATTCCAAGAGTTTTGCTTTTTGGTTAATGACTTCTGTGCAGCTTGCACTTCTTGCTTCAAAACCATTGGTTCTTGCTCATATGCTACCTTTTGAAATGGTTGAAGTCAACTAGTTCTTTTTGGTGTAGGAACTGTGTGTTCATTGTCTCTTTATTTTATTTTTACAGTTTTATTAACATAATTTATATATCAAACAATTAATAGTTTACACATATTAAAGAGTTGTGCAATCATCACCACCAATTGAACATTCTCTCATTTCTTGTACTCAATATTATTAACTCTTTATTTCCCTCAACCTCCCCTGCAATAACCCCAAGAAACAATTAATCCAGTTACTATCTCTATTGATTTACCTTTCCTGGATTTCACATACAGAAAAATATATAAAAACAAGAAAACGAAACTAAAACCAACCTACAACAATAATGAAATAAAACAGAAAATCTTCAATCGAAAAGAATGCAGAAAATAATAAAAACTGAACAATTTAGCATGGATTCAAAGAGAGAACAAATGATAAAGTTTTAAATTTTAACCCCATTCTATCATCATTAGTCCACTTTCCAATGTCTGATAGCAAGGCTATTCATATCCCTGGTCAATGGTCAGAGGGAATTCACCAGAGACTTAATCCACATGGGAACCTGCAAATGGATTGTGGGGTTTCACTGTCATCCACAGCATTCTGCAAACGGGGTACTCAGAATTTAAGTTCTGATACCATTCTTTCTGTTTTGAATTTTTATTATTTATAATCCTTGTATCACACCAGGAGGTATTCATCTTAGCTGCTTAGTTAAGAGAAGCTTTTAACCTCAGACGCTATTTTTTCTGATAGCCAGACACCATCTGATTTTTCACCACATTTTGCTATAGCACCTATATTCCAGTGATCTCTTCTTTAAGGCAAGTGTGAGTAGGGTCACATCATAAGAACTAATTATTCTTAGATTCTGGCTATGATTAAGTGGGGGCTCAAAATCTATTCATATATCTATGGTTTATATATCTACTTGGTCCATTTTAGAGACATCATTATCCTTTTATTGGTGAACATTATAATCATCTTCATGGGACATGTGATAATTCTATTGATAGTATCATTAACTTACCAGTCGATCTTCTTTTGATGCTTCCTGCAACATAGAATCTCTCAATATTTCAACTAGAGGTTTGAATTTCTTCTTTAGTTCTTTCAGTTTTAAGTATGCCGAGCAAGCTCTTCCTTTTTGGTTTTCTAACTTTAAGTCTTTGCACATTTCAAAATAATACTTAATTTGTCTTCTTGAGCTGCCCTTTGACGCTTTCTGTTCAGCTCTTCCATTTGCCTTATGATTAAGAGCAAGTTTCAGATTTTCTTCTGACATCCACTTTGATTTTTTGCTTTCTTTCCTGTCTTTTAAATGACCTTTTGCTTTCTTCATGTGTGATGTTCTTAACGTCATCCCATGGCTCATCATGTCTTCTGTCATTAATGTTCAATGCAGCAAACCTTTTCTTCAGATGTTCTTGAAATTACATATGAGCAATTGATGGTCTGTTCCAAAGTTGGTTCCTGAACAGGTTTCAGTTGCTGATTTTGAGCTTCTCTAGTGTTACTTCCCACAGATGTAGTCATTTTGATTTCTGTGTATTCCATCTGGAGAAGTTCATGTATATAGTCACCTTTTGTGTTGTTGATAAAAGGTATTTGCTATGAATAAGTTGTTGGTGTCGCAAAATTCTTTCATGCAATCTTCAGTTTCATTTCTATCACCAAGTCCATATGTTCCAACTACTGTTCCTTCTGTTTCCAACTTTTGCATTCCAAATTGCCAATAATTATCAATGCATCTTGATAATATTTTTAAAAATCAATTTTAGACTAAAGATATTGGTAGAATTCTTCATTTTCTTCATCACCAGTTTTAGTGTTTGGTGCATGAATTTGAATAGTAGTTGTATTGACTGAATTTCCATGTATGTTCATAGTTACCATCCTATCACAGACAGCATTGTCCCTCAAGATAGACCCTGAAATGTCCTTTATGATGATGGTTGCAAGGCCATTTCTCTTGATTGTGTCATTCACAGCACATGATTTTTTTGGTTCAAATGGTCAACACAAGTCCATTTCAGCTCACTAATGCCTAGGATTATCAATCTTTATGCATTTAATTTCATTTTTTATGACTTCCACTTTTCCTAGAATTATACTTTATATATTCTGAGTTAGATTTTTGGTAAATTTTTGTAGCTTTTTCTTCTCATTTTGAGTCATGACCCATCAGCAAATGAAAGCCGTGGAGGCTTTCCTCCCTAAGGCTTTACTCTATTCAAGTCATTATGGTTGACTCTACTTTGAGAAGGCAGCTCTTCCTCAGTTATATTGCAGTGTTCATTGATCTGAGAGGCTCATCTTCTGGTACTATCTCTGACAATGCTCTTTTGCTAGTCATGAAGTTTTCACTATCTGACAATGTTCTACTGTTATTCATAAGATTGTCTATGGCCAATTTCCCCTACATGGATTACCTATTTCTTCTGTGTAATCTTTTTTAAGTGTGGAAGCTCTGCTGAGAAGTGTTCTCTTTGGGTGACCCTGTTGGTATTTGAAATTCCAGTGAGATAGCTTCCAGTATCACAGCAACTCATAAGCCACCACAGTACGACAACCTTTGTAGGAATATACAGTCTCATCTTTTTCCTGAGGAGCGGCTGGCAGGTTTCATTTGCTGACCTTGGAGTTAGC